GCAAAATCAAACAAAACCTGTCTGTTGTTATTTATTTCGATAACGTTGTCAAAGACTAACATTGCAACACACACCACTCCTTCCTTTAAAGCTTTGGCAAATTTAAAATTAATGTTAAGATTGCCTTGCCTAATTAGAGAAAGAGCCCCGCGGCCAGTATGTCCGCGAGTGAAGTCAAAGCCGTAAATACAAAAGCCACCAGCATTGTAATCCGAACGATCAAAGGGTAGCTCGCCCGGACCTTCTCCTAAACGCTCCAGTGTGTCTAAAAGTCCTTCGTAGGCCTCGGCTGTGGCCCCGTTTTCATAATCTAAATTGTATCCTCGAGTGGGAAACAGCTGGCCGTCGATCTCGGCATGGACATAAGACAGGTTAAAATGATCGAAATTAAAGGGAGTTGACTTGTATTCCCCAGCAAAAGAACGACTGGGTGATAGGGCTAGGAACATTACCTTTGGGAGCTGTCCAATCACGATATTCGCCCACACGTGTTGTTGCTGACCAGATATCAGAGTACACTGCCGCATCGCAACGCGTTCAACGTGATATTTTGCATTATTGCCAACCAGTTGCTTTGTCATTGCGGCAAGATAATCCGGAGCTGGTTCGTATTTGCGTATACGCAATCGGGGATTCCGAATCGCTACAACTTTAGGTGCTGCCAGGTCGCTATCGGCAATAAACGCTAGATTCTTTCGGTTACGAATCAGTTTGATGCTTAACTCTACGCCTGGTATAAGTGGGCGATCCTGCTGAAACAAGTCGCAGAGCAACTTGCCTGACAACTGGAGTGGCTTCAATGTTTGTATCCACTTTCGCCTTTTTTCAGCACCTTCACTATGGAAAGATGATTTTCCGTCTACTTTCTCTGTGAAAATCGGATCTTTGGACATTTCAGTGTCCATAGCGAACCCACCCAGACTTAGTTGGGTTAGCTGCGCTTGTTTTGTATAACCCAAAAGGCTCTCCAAATAAGCGCGAATGTGATACATCGAGCTACTGTCCGATATACTGCGACCGCCTAGAGTAACACTAACTTGCTCGAAAAGACTGTGTACAATGTTGTTAATAGGGGCCAAACAGTCGCTATCCGTTGGTATGGTTCCAGCTGCATTAGTAACGTGAAGATCGCACGTAAATCGAATATCGGCTAAGCTAACCAATTCCGACTGACATGGAGCTACAGTAAATGAAAAATCATTGGATTCGTCGGTCGTGGCTTGTGAGGGCCCCAAATAATAATCTCTGGTATTCCATCGTTCCGTTAGTGTTGAAGGTAAGTAGAATAAGTGACTCTCTAACAACATTGATGGCTCTGAGCCGTTTTCTATAAGCGCCATTGCTACAGTTTGTCTTTTATCGCGTCAATTGCTCGTTGCTTCTTATTAATGCTGACTATTTTTTTCTTTCGTCCCTTAATGCCTGAGCCGCTTTGTTGACGTATTTTTTCACTGACGTGCTCGACAGCTTTATCGATGGCTGATTCTACCGCTTTCGAGGCAAATGTCTTCATGTGTGGTTGGGCGGTAGCAATCATGTTGTTGATGTGAGGTGCAGCCTTACTAAACAACCCCCGCGCAAATCCTATGATGCGACCCCAAAAGCTGCCACCCGTCATTGGTGCACCGCGGTAAACGGGCATTCCGTAACCGTGCTGACGATTGAATATTTGAATGTAGCGAGATTCATCGAATTTAAGTTCTTGGAGTACCATTTTTAGTGTTTTTTCAGTCGGAAGTGTAGTTTGATTATTGCAGTACCTGGATGGAAAAACACTTCATTACCTAAATCATCGCATACTTTAATTTCAACTGTTTGGAACGTATGACGGGCTATAGGTACGTAGTGAGGGCTTTCAAAACGGATGCACGTATCTTCAAACGAGCTCGCTTGCGTTGATATCGTGCGCAACAAAGGAACCATAGCATCCCCCACTAGACCGTATTCAATGATGTCACAGTAGACGTGTACAATGCGATTATGTTTCCCGGGTGGAGGACATAAGTAGGGCTATCACTGCCCGTATAACTGTAGTCTTGCAGCAAACCTAAAGCACGGGTATACTCTGCACCGTGGAACGTCAGGGTGGTGTCTGGTCTGATACTTAGTTCAGAGGAGTTACCACTGACTACGATATGACCATATAAAACTGGTTCATCATCCGTCGCGCCATCACGCAAAAGCACATTAACAGCGTGTATTAACCGGTTTTCGTCCGGATATGCTTTTCACTTAAAAAACGAGTCTCCCGAGTGGGATAATTAGTTCGCGCAATACCAACCACTAAGCCGCTATTAAATTTTAACTGCATAGGAGGAAGTATTAATTCTGATAACGCAACTTCCCAGGTACCGTCCAGATCCACTGCCCTGGCTAATAAAGTTGTGAAATGTCCGGGACAGTTTTTTGGATACAAATCACGAGACGCCGAAGATGGCAGTGTCAAGTAAAAACTCATTTTAATTCGTTTGCGTTTTCCCAAGAGTCATACGCGGGGCCGTAGCCATACCAACGTACCAGATATTGTTTTTTACCCTTGTGTGTGCGCTCCCTTAATATCCTAGAAATGCGATGGTATGGCCTCTCAGTCATTACAAATTTTGACAGTTCGGAAGCATAGAAGTGTCCGTCGATTGCTTCACCAGCTAGGTCTTCGATAGCATACAAAAAATGGCTTTTATGTTTTAAAACTCTGACTACTTTAAAAATTTCTTCCGTGTAATTTGTTTCGTAACCTTTTCGAACGTGTTTTTTCTTTTGGCAATTCGCACATGGTCGCCAGCTGTAAATGCGGGCCCCTTTGATTTCTTTTGTTCGCTGAGCATACGTTCAAGGATAGAGTTGCTCTCGTTTACTCCAACGTTTTCTGGAGCATAACCGGTTGAAGAATGCACAGTGCTATTATACCCTTGCATTATCTGTGGCAAAACGTCTATGTATCGATATGTGTTTTTTTCAGTCATGTATACGTACATACGGTTTTTAATGGTACGGTTGAGTCGTTCTACCATTGCGCATTTTACATCATCATTTCGAGTAGTAAAAAAGGTTACATTACATTCTTTAAAAAATGCACGCATTTCTCTTCCAACAAATTCTTTACCGTTATCACTTTGACAGCGCAGTGGCGGACTGCATTGTTTGTAAATTGTGCTGAGCGCTGCAGCAATTTCTGGCGGCTTTTTTGACTTCACTGGCTCCGCCCAACCATATCTGGAGAAACAATCAACACACGTCAGCACGTAATTAAAACCATCGTTTTCTTTACGAAACTTTTGCATATCCATCAAGTCAATTTGGTGTTGGTCTCCTACATTTACTGATATAATTTTTCTTCGTTTAAACTTTGAGCGGTATGCTTTATGTTGTGTATACGCGTCCTTAGACTGTAAGTATTGTTCAACTTGCTGACGTGTATAATTATGTTTTGAGCTTCTTTAAACAGACGTTCAATCTCCTCCAAGGCTACCGGGGTTCCCGGCATCCAGGTAAATTTCATCTAGTGTTACCATTTTAAGCATAGTTTAACCACCCTCCAGTTTGTGTTGTACGCTGTTTTTTACGTGGTGGTCCGTAGAACTTTGTTGGGGCTCTAGCGATTCTCCGCCTATATGTGTTGGTTTCTTGTTCTTCATCCTTTTGGCTACTTAACTGAACATTATTTTTTGTTTTCGCAGGCTGTGGGTTGTATGTTATAACTTTTCTATGCGCTGCTTCAATTGGCATGGGTGCCGACGGGCCCGTTAGCCCCGGAACAGTTAAGGCATTTTCAACAGACAGTTGCGTAGACGTCGGCAACAGAGCAGTTTTATCGCGAGTCTTACGACGCACCGCGGTTTTAATTGGAGCCAACGCCTTACCTAAAACCTGTAAGCTGGTGGAAGGTCCCTCGATGGCTAGTCGCGTACCAGCATACGGTAACGCTGAATTTTTACGTGTACTTCGTCGCAGTGAGACTTTATTTGGTTGATAATTAAGTGCCTTTGCATTTATATTTGACGGCAGTGCTGGATTTTCATGGGGTTCGTAATCCAGAACTCCGTCAGGAGGAAACTCAACAATTGGTGGTTCTTGCGGTGCATCTTGTATGCTTGGTGGTGTCGGTGCAAACTCTATAGTTGGCGCCTGGTTCTTCTTCGGCATGGTGTTACGGGAAGTTTTTGGAACACCACGCTTTTAGTTATTGGTGGGACTTTTGGGGATTTGTATACGTGTTTGACTAAAGTTTTCGAAGGGGTTGGAACATAGTGGACAACAGGTTCGCTCGGCACGGTTGTAGGAACATAGTGCACGATTGGGTCCGCGGGCACTTGTACGTAATGCACCAACGGCTCGGACTGTACGTACTCAATTTGGGGTGACGAATTTGCTTGAATTTGCTGGTCATTTGTTGCTGTACTAACCTGGATACCACGGCTCTCAAGCAAAGGTCCGGTTTGAAAAATGCATCTTGCATTAGCGGCTTTGCCTCAACGTATTTTGACACGGTTGCTGGCTTATGCAAAGTTCCGATGGCAAGGTATTGCTTTCTATGGTATAGTTTGGTGTCTCGCTAACCGGCAGGCGCGTAACCGGACGTTGGTTCTCCAAGGCGGCTCGCACCATTAGCTGCTGATTCATGTTATCGCTAATTTCTTGGGCCCTTTTCCAAGTAGATGTTGGACCTGACCTATTTTTGCCACTTACGAATTCTGATTCCGGTACTAACACGTAAGTCTTCATTTTGTTAGGAACGATGTTAAAAGAGTTCCCAAAACTGGTAGAAGAACTCCTAAAAATCCACCTTTTTGCTGTAAAAGCTTTTTCTTTTTTTCACGCGTTAAATTCCGATCAGCTAGTCGCTTTATTTTTCCAACATGAGCACGTGCTTTCGCTAAATGTGTTTTACTTAACCCCTTTGGTTGCTTAATAAGGTTCAAGCAGGCTTCTTCAATTGCAGCGACCTGTTTAGTAGTAGAAAATTGAAAAAACGCTCTCTGCTGTCTGGGTGTCATCAAACGTAGAGCGTCGATTAGCTTGAGAATTTCTTCTGGCTTCATTTTTCTACATAGATTCTTCGGTAGCCAAAAATATTCGATTGTAAGCGGGCCTTGTCGGGGGTTTCCGGACGTAAGTTAATTAATAAGTATCCAAACGGTTCCTTTATAGCCTTTTTATAAGCTTCTGGCAAGTGTGGCATGCCCAGCTGATGCGCTAGCGTTTTTATTTGCTGTGTGTCGCGAACAGATTTAAATACGACCATATATTGTGAGTTGAGAGAAATATCACGCATGTTCTTTCCTTGCTTGAAAAGGTTTTGTGAGATGAAAACAACAGAAACGTTTTTGTGGTGAACATCACGGGTAAATAACGCGGATGCCTTAGTAGCAGATGCTATTTCCTCCATTAAATCATCCAAAATTAGCAGCGTTGTATCACCTTTTCTGAAAAAGCTTTCGTCATTAATAATGGAATCAATGCCTTGTACAAGTTCAATAGATTCGTCAAAAGTTGAAAAGGTTTCTTGCCACGTACCGTACGCGTAAACAATACGAGTAGGGACGGGAGTGAAACTTTGTGAAACGTTTTTCAAGAGTTGCAACGTAAACGTTGATTTCCCAGACATTGTTGGTCCTGAAATGTAAATTGTGCAAGGAGTTTTAAAACGAAAATCAAAAGTGATTTTTTCCATTTCTAAAACCTCAGATAATTCGACCTTAAGCCGCTAGTTCAGCACACCTGTAAAATCCGCAAAATTCCGAAAATTTTCCGTTGAAAAGTCTAAAATTTTACGATTACTGGGAGTTTTGGTTAATTAACTGCAGGAGGTTTTTATCGCTTCTGCAACTGCCTGCACTTGTACAACGGATGTACATCCTAAAAGAACGCAGTTACCCGTATGAAACACGTTAACTGTGGCTCCTAAATACTTAAATTTAATCTGAACTGCTGGAAATAGTTCAGGCTCAAAAAATGCCTTACTTACTTCCGGTATTGTTCTGCTTTTATTGTATAAATTGGCAAGATTGACTTTTGTACTATGACGGTAAGTGCTTACGATATTTGCTATACTACGTACCTTAATCTCCAAAGTAAAATCATGCAGAAGTAACATCAGCTTATAAAGAGCAGCAGTTGCTCCGCTTCATCAACTGACTTACCGCCGTTTATGATGGCCTTGCCGTTCGCAAACAGTTGACAGAATGTGTTACCATTCAAGCGAAGGTTAACGGCGTTAAAGTTTTTCATCTTAGTAGCATCGTTCCCGAAAACACGGGTTATCGCGTCCAAGTCGATCCTTCTGTCAAACCTGACGGACAAAATAACGTTGTGTATCTCCATGGCTGAACACACTAATCGCGACAGAATGAGCACGAATTCTTTATATACGTTTCTTACTCAGTCTGTCGCGAATAGAGGCATTAGCCCTTTTTTTTATCCTATTTAATTTTCTTTTGCTACCTAAAAGTATCCCAGACAAAGCTGTAGATTGTCATTAGTAAAAAGACCAAAAACATAGTAAATCGAAATAGTGCATTATGTTACACAAGTCAAATGCTGTTAGCCTACGTATCCATGGACACTCCCTCAGGACCCCAGAAGCTGTCCTGTACAATGCGAGCTACATCCAAAAAATCCTCGGTATGGAATCTGTAAAGAGCGCCCGGGTTGTGAAAAGCGGATCATCCGCCCATATTTAGGATGGATACTGAGAAGTACATCCATACAAGCAGGTCCGGCAAGAGTGACCTTTTCCGCAGATTTGCTTGTGATTGCCTTGTCCATCGCTGCTTGGATAGTTCCCGCTTTCAACTTATTCAGGACGTCCGAAATTTCACTACATCCCAGACGCACTCCTTTCCGGAACGCCTCTTCATGATCTTTGTAACCGTCTGTTTCCTGATCAAAAGCTAGAACAAGACTGACCTTTTTCGTGTTCCAAAACATACTTACCACATTGTTGACCTTATAGATGATGTATCCGTTCAGCTCTCCCAAAATCTCCAAAGTGCGTGCAAAATCCATTTTTTGATTGCAAAAGCGACTAACAAGTAGCAAACAATTTTTCTTACGGAACTGAAAAGCAACTGACAATTCAAGGTTTACCCGCTAGCCTTTTATATCCTCACGACTACAGCGACTGCAAAGTGTTGGATTTTGATTCGCATAAAATCCCTCCAAAACTCCGCCTTTTTATGGAAAGCAATGGTTTCCATTGGTCAAACTTTTCCCAACACAAGACTGTAGCGATTGGCTGAAAAATCGATAATTTTGCTCCGCCTTTTTCCCCTGCAAGCCTTGTTAGAAGGTGTAAAGGCGGAGACTTGGGAAGCTTCGTCCTTATTGGTATTATATATAAACTACGATGGTCAAGCAAAATTTAGATTTCGGTTTTAGAAACAGGCTTTTATTGATTCAGTTTTTTGTCATTAAACAGCAAAATGGACATGCGTAATGTGATCCATCGTCTGGCTACGTTTAAACACACCAATTGGGACAATAGTTTACTTCCACCGACGTACTTGGCCTTAGCCGGAATGTTTTATCGTGGAACCGGGGATGAAGTTCAGTGCGCATATTGTGACGGTATTATGTCCGGATGGGGTAAAATCCGAAGCCCAAGGCGGCATCATCAATTACTGTTTCCAAACTGTCCAATGTCAAAGAGAACACCTGAACCCATTACTGCGGAAGGAGAAGACGTCGTGGAGGTGTGGGCGTCAGCGCCAGTTGCTATTCCGGGGACCTATAGCTACGCTGTGCGCTTTCCAGACATGATGGATTACAAGGCTCGTTTTTCTACATTTGCCGAGTGGCCTGAATCAAAAGCTCAGCATCCCAGGGTCATGGCCCAAGCCGGTTGGTTTTATAACGGAACGGTGATTGCGTCCAGTGCTTTCACTGCGGACGAGAGCTTGAAAGATGGGTTCCCACCGATGGAGCATGGGAAGAGCACGCCAGAGCGTCGCCCATATGTCCATTTGTCATAGCACAAAAAGGAGAACAGTATGTCTACGACGTTCAGACCAAGCAAGCAAAGGAATCAGCGCAGATCTGTGACAAGGTATCTCAAGCGTATGCGGCTAGGAAAAGAGAAAATAACCCCCTGGAGAAAGTGCAATGTAAGGTCAGCTTAGACAATGAAGTCCAAGTTGTATTCCGCCCATGTAATCATCTGGCCTGCTGCAATAACTGTTCAGATAGATTGATACAGTGTCCTGTTTGCAGAACTGTGGTGATTCAAAAAATCCGAGTTTTTTTGTGTTAGTGTAAAGTTTCACCTATTATTCGTGAAAAACAAAAACCAAAAAATCACAAATCGTCAAAAATACCGATTGCAGTATTGCAGTGCTACGGCTACTTTTGGAAAATGATAAACAACTGTTTCACTTGTTACTTTAAAGCTTAACAAAAAAACAAAAAAAAGTGATAAACTCAAAAAAATGATGCATGTTATGTTGGCAAAAACAAAAAAGGGGAGAAAAAGGGAGGGGAAAATTTAATCAAAGAAAGGGGTGAAATGGGTGGGGAAAATTTAAACAAACAAATGGGGTACACCGGGTTGGACGATGTATCGTAAATCAATAACATAAGGTGGTGTTGTGACGCCGAATTGTTTGTGTTAAATGCACGTCGTATGCAGTATGTTTGTAAACAAGATGTTTATTGTTTGTTTGGCCATCAGTTGTTTGTTTGGTGACCATTTCAACGCTTCTTTTCTTCTTATATCTGATCGGAAAATACGCTATCGCCTAATTAACTGAAATCAAGGACCAATGTACCCTTTACAGAGGATGATTAAGTCGGCGCGATTGACCGAATTTTCCCCCGCAGCTTGTGCCAACCGTCAACAGCAACACGACGTATATGCAGGGGATCGGGGATTTTCCCTTTAATGATGTTGCCGTTGCGGGATGGTGATTTAGCGAGTCTCCCGCTAATTACACGGATTCCCAACGACGCTGCACGTTAGAGTTGTCTCTTGGCTTAGCACGTATATACATGGTAGTCGTTGGAAACGTATTTGTTTATCCTCGTAGAACATTGTTTTCGTGCTAGGAAAATCAATAAGCACCCTGGCCATCATATTACACAGCACCGTAAAGCCTGTTGATTCAGCACTTTTGGTGAAATCCAGGTACCTGGACAAATTAAGAAGCAATCGACCGTTGACGATTAAAATGCCGGTAGCCGTAAGGAATTAGATCCTCTGGCTCTGTTAAAAACATATAAAGTAGGCGGGGTTATTTAGTTTTAATTAGGCCAGTTTCTCGGTAGTTTCGGTATATCGCAGGAGACGGCTGGTATACACACAGGATAATTCCGGTGGGCATTTCCATTTCGGTATGCCTTTACGTTGTGTGGTTTGGGGTGTATATACATGTATTTAAAATTTGTTAACAGCAAAAACCTGTAACAGTATATAAATTATTATGTCTGATGTCTAAAGTTCGAGACTTTTAGTGTGTATTCTTTATTTATATAATGGTAATGCAAGATGTAGGTGTATTTTATACACTTATACCGATTGAAGTGATGTATAAGGATGTCCGTAGCTGTACGCGCGAGGTAGCATTTCTGCGATATACTTTATCAAAACATAAACGAAAACTGTTTTAAAGGTGTTATATTTCTTCTCGAACTTGTAATAAACAGCTGGCACTCCGAATCCCGGTTATAAAAGAAAGGTCACCGATGGTGTAGGTGTTTCTATTAGCTGGGATACATGCAATTCGATCAGTTTCTGTGTATTCGAAGCATTCTACCTGTACTGTATTACAGCAGTGGTGTGCCCGTGTTAAACACCTCAACCATTTTTATAAAGCATAATTCAAGATATAATTATTATTGCTATCATATTCTCTACAACACATATAACATGCTCTACATCAACCAGAAACTAAAAAAGTCTAAAAGTTATAACCTTGGAAATGAGTGGCAATTTATACACACAAAGTGTATATATAAGGCATAATATACACGAATAAAACACATTTATAATAAAAATGAGAAAATCACATACACATACACGGCATACTTAATAAGCACATACCCGAATAAATCACATTTATAAAAAATTATAAAAAATCTCCACCTATGACTAGGTCGACCTGTCTCCATTAAAAACTTGCAATAAGTGCGGGGGCAAGTAGCGCACTGGACGTATCATTACTGGCAGGAGTGGATGATGCCACCGTAGAATTGCCCATCACTGGCGTGCTCATCGTGGAATTTCCCGGGGCGGACGACGACGGTCCATACTCGTACGGCCGGTATCCCTTATCCCCGTACAACGATCCATAGAGCGGTTTCTGTGGACTGTATCCCCCGGGACCTCCCGGATACCCTCCAGGTCCCGGGTATCCTCCCAGTAACGGCAGGTGACCTTTGCCCGGGTATCCGGCGCCGCCATGGCGCGTCTTATTTCTCAGATAATCGGCATAGTTGATGCCCGGGGATTTCAAGTAGGTGTTGTAGTCCGGCGTTGGGACGATGGGGCCGTAGCGGTAGATGGTGGAGTTGCTGGGTCTGCCGCGCCAGGGGGATTCTTTCTCGTAGGTGACGCGGAGTTCGGCGCGGCCGGCGTAGTAGTGGCCCGGTGGCATGTTGTAGGACGCGGCGTAGGCGGATAGATCCGGGTTGAGGATTTCATCCAGGCTTGTGCAAAAAGCCTAGAACGCATACAAAGATGTTTCGCAGGATCTCCACTTTCAAGACATACTATATGTATACTTCCATAATATGTACACTTAAGTAATTTATTAAATAAGTTAATAAAATTTGCTTTAATTTTTATTCTACTTAATTTTGACAAAATAATTTAGTGCCATTTAAAGATTATTGCCTTAATTTTAGCACGCCCTGATTTAGTAAAATTAGTTAAAATAAAGCAAATTAGATCAAAGTACCCACTAAACAAATAATTAAATTTTGTAAATGTTGGTTTACGTCAATTGTTATTTAATGAACTATTTATTAATCGGATATTTTAAACGGGATTAGATGGAATATGATGGAAAGACTTTCGTAGTCACAAAACGGCTGTCACACGACCGGCAACTTACCCATAATGTACAGAAGGGAAAGAGGAAGAAGAGAAGATCCATAATATTGAGATTCTATATACGTAATGAAAGGTTGGGGTGACAGAACGGGGACAACAATCATCCGGCAAGGCACCACGCAGAGCGTCAACTATTCTGGCCTTCAGGCAGTTTCGTAAGATTTAAATAAACAATGTCAGGGCCATCTTCCGCTCAAAGGAATAACACATCCCTGTAATCGTAATATGATTACGGTAACTAACCATACGCTTGCATAATGGAGAGCTTTTTCTGTTCTTCAGGAGCCTAGATGTTACCGCATAGTGATATAATTCTGACTAACCAAGTCATTTTCATTAGGCACAAGCCGAAAGTTGTCAGCTTTACGTAACGTGTACCACAAGGTTGTATGCGCGACCCTGATGTTAGCAGCTTCTTCTGTTGCTAAAGGATTGTGCTCCAGATCAACTGCGGTGATACAGGAAATGAAATATTTTAGCAAGAAATGCAGGATAAAGATCGCTATCCGCGTTACGAGAGCCTTATACAACCTATCTCTGATATCGTTAATGAAACAACTTAACCAAAGTTACGTAAAATTCGTATACTCAACCTACAGCGCAGATCTGCCGTTGCTTGATTAATACGGTTTTTAACGAAGTGTGCAGTGTTTTGCACTACAGATTTCTGTATTTCAAATTTGGAATACTGTTTATTACTGGCAGTCTTGTGTAATTACTAACCATAATATCTGACACTTTCACGTAAGAATAAGGAAAATTATACTGCATAAAGAAGTTTATACAGCAGCACGCGCGTTTATTCCACTTCTTCAAACCGGAAGCACCTTTCAGTACAAATAGAGCCGTGTAATATAAGAACTTGAATTACACTACTTGTACTAGGGTGCTACATATACGGCGTTGTAAAACATCTCATTGCGTTGTTCTGCGCTACCACACCACGTTTTCGATAAAACAATAAACAATCAATTTAAGTGAATTCATGGTCAAGATTTAATAGCCGCAGGGCGTAATTACTTATTACTAACCTTATTGAAAATGCGCATCAGTTTCGCCTTATTTGCGCGGAGGAATATGGGGGGCCTGGCCCCCTGGTTTTATGGTTGTCGTAAGCATTTGTGGTACTACTTTTCACAACATCGTATGACATTGGCTCATCGTGAAGGTGAATGATCTATTTGCTTGGCAGTTAGCACAACCACCAAAAAACACATCCACAAACGGGAAATTCGACAACTGCGGTCTTAAAACATGTCACGCTGTACATACAGAGTGTCACGCTGCAGCACTGCAAAAACAATGGTAGTCACTTTTTAGAGGAAGGAGGTGACTGTTGATGGTGGTAAACGTCTGCAGAATACAAATCACTCTGTAGTACACATCTTTAAGTTAAGCAAACCGTAAAAACCTTAATACGAGAGAGCTTATTTAACCTTTCTGCTCGCTCCATGGTTCCCCTAAATGACGCTGCGTTTCCCGCTGTCTCTCCGTGGACGCTGTCGGAGAAATTCGTGGGAGCGAATCTACCCTGAATAGTCTCGCAGCCGATTTCCCAGCTCCTTTACGGTAGCAAGAGACAATAGCCGATGGTCCCCACGGACCCAGTGTCTCAAAGGGTACTTCGATATTGTTCGCATTCCGGACACTTTGACAATATGGGTTCAGTCTGCACCAGAGACACGGTATTCTCATTAATGTGGTATTCCACATTAATGTGGAACAAGCCGAGAATACCGTGTCTCTGGTGCAGACTGAATACCGTGTCTCTGGTTGCTAGTATTAGCAACCTTCAAAAGTTGTTGTTAATCTCATGTACAAGCTCGTGCAGCTATAGAAGTAATAAATATCATGTAGTCAATTTTTGAAAAATTATTGGCATTTTGCACAACGCCGAGAATACCGGGTCTCTGGTGTCCGGTGCGCGAATGCATTTTGTGGAAATGTCCGGAATGCAAAAAATGTCGAAGGGTAGGAGCAGAAATATATCGACCGTGTAGATACAAATGCCAGGTAGCAAAGTAGACTTCGCTTCTTCTGCTTGTGTTGCGGCTCACTCGGCAGCAGACGTAATGCACGAAGGAGCGGCCATGTCGGCCCAGGTAACATCTCATGTCAGGAGTATTTCACCTTTACCATGCAAACGTCGTGCAGCCGCCTGGGCGTCGTTCGCACGTGCATAAACTGCGGGGTTTTGGTTTCTCGCACACGGTTTCGGTTTGGAGAAATTCCGCTCATTCGGACACGCTTTTAACGTAAGCAGCAGTGGTAATAGTCGCACTCGTCGGTAACACGGGTGCCATTACTTCGTGACAGTTGACGTAAGAAAACAACGAGATATGCGAAAGTGTTCCATGCGATAATTACTATTCAACTTCTATGTAGTAATAGTCACTGCCATCCAAGGAGAATTTCCCCGGCCAGACCGAATTGGATCTCGTGGTGTGGGAGAACCTGACGGTACCCGAGTACGACCGCGTTATCGGCGCTTTCTCCATTCTCGCACGCCTACGTCGGTCTGTACGAATGCCTGCATTCCAACGGACAGCAGCTGGTGGTGACGCAGCGCTGCTGGGTCACGCCGCAGCTCTTCCGCCACGACGTCTTCACCCCACCTTCGCACAACATCAGCGTGCATCCCGGCGACCCCGCGGAGATGGTTTGCACGGTGCGCTTCCATGCCCTGCCTGGACTGCTTTCCAACCGGTTCCTGTGGCGCAAGGGGCACCACTTGCTGTTCGCGCATTCCATCAAGGACTTCGCCAGTCGCGTCACCGAATTCAAGGTGCGCTTCCAGTTCGGCCTGCACGACCATTGTTCCTACAGCTCGACCATGAAGATTGACCGGGTGGCAGCAGAACACGCCGGACGCTATGAATGCTGGTTCCGGATCAATGATCGCCTGGATGAATGGATAGTGCAGGAAGCGTACCTGAAGTAGTTTGAACAGAGGATTTTCGTAGCGGTTTATAGCTGCTGGTAAACATTTTCCTCTTTATAACAGCGTTTTATTTTTCGGTAATAGCTTTGGACGTTCATATTCGGAAGAACTCCCACTTTTGTCAGTATAGTTTTGATGCCGGATAGTTCATGTGGATAATATGTATGTTCTTTTGGCTGGAGTGGTGTCCAAATCGGGCCAATCGTGCCTGTCAAGCGACACATGACGGCGAGTCGGCGATCATTTATAATTCGTTTGAGCAGAGAATTCGTGCTTACGGAATGAAAGAATCTCCAACCGTTTAAAACAGAAGTAACATGTAAAATATATGTCCTAATTTAAATTATCGTTTCGCGGTTGCACTATTAATTTTAAGGGGGCGTTTCGGTCCTCAGTACATATAATCTTTCATTCTTATAAATACTGCAGCCGAATGTAACTCAGTACGTGGCTTTTTCGTCGGCCAAGCATTTTTGTGTGCCCGTTGTCGAGTCCAGATGAAGGTTGTTTACATAGAAAATTACACTTTTGTGGTCACCTGTTATCGCAGCGGCTGGCAAGTCGGTTTGTTATGACAGTTAAACCGCTTGCGATAAGATAAGCGCAGGTAGATGTGGCAGTGTTCTTTTGCAAATGTTCAGCAGTGCGGTACGTGAGATGTGCACGTCTGGTATAACCTACCGTAGTACCTGTACATGCATTTATCCGGCACCGTAAACATGTGCGTTTTTCTCGTCGTGAAGTAAGGTACACAGTATACTACTGTATTTCGTTGTCAGTGCGCTGCCCTAGTTTACGCTCTGCAGTCACAATGTAGCTGCAATTACCTGCATAAATATTTCACAATATTGTACGCAGTGGACCGACAAGCATTTCTTTATTTTGAATCTAAAGTTAGTATTATTGGTGGATATCGTTAAGCAGTTTAGCACCGTAAAGGATCATTATGGCGGCGAACGGAACGAAAGCGGATTACCGGAGTGGAGTACGGCCTGTCAACCCCTTCGCCACAGGAGAGGGCGGTTTCTTCAATGTACAGGTGGAGCAAGTTCCGGAGAAGAAGGGTGTTCTGTTTAAACATGTGGAATACGAAGTTATCTTCCGTGTGAGCGCGGTTAAACATAATAGTTAAATTATTGTTTACGCTTCTCAAATGTTGTTTTATGTTTTTAATACTGTAACAAAACTTAAAATTTTACCGTAATGCCAACGAATCGACAAAATCTTAGAGGAAGGAAGGCTTGAGGTTTGCCATTGGATAATTTGTACGTCACACTTTAAGAAAATGTTGACACTTTTAGCATTCTGATCTTCCTATGGCATAAAACGAAAGAACCGCAGTTAAAGTCAAATTTACGAAAACAGGATCACCAGCTTATAATAAAAATCTGCAGTTGACTAGAACAAAGTTACGTCCGCTTTAGTATCAAGTCCTTAATGTCCTAGGGTCATCGGGTACCGCGTCGCTACAACGACTTCGTCGCCCTGCACGACGCCCTGGAATCAAGGTTTCCCACGCGTCTGTATCCGCGGCTTCCGCCCAAAAAAGCCGTAGGCGCCGACGACGCGTTCATTGCGAAACGGAAGAAAGCGCTCACCCGCTACGTCACGCTGCTAGCCAGGAACCCGGTGCTGGCGAAAACGGAACTGTTGCAGCACTTCCTCACCCATCAAGGCAGTGTACGGGGTTATGAAATTCTGCTTCTTCTGATTCTGAATGAAGGCCGGCTACGATTAAAATGGTTTGGAATGGTGTACAGGATGTGCAAGCGGTGATTAAGCAGAAAAACACGGCAGCCGATGAATTTTCCCAGACCCAACCCGAAGCGTACCAGCACATTGGCATCACGGAATGGACGGAGCGGTTAGCGCAGTTGAAGACCAACATGACGGTTCTGGATGCGGCTGTGCTAAAACTTCGTGATACTATGGAGAAGATTTGCGCTACCAACAAAGGTAACAACTACACCAACATCTGTTCTCATCAGATCTGCGATACCAATAAAGGTCTTATCTTACTGTTCTCATACTTGGCTTTGTAGAACAAGTGAAAAACTATATGGCTCTGAACCTGGACTTCACGTATGTTGCACTATGTAATTCAAGCGTTCGTCATTCGAAAGCGTTGCCAACATATTTTTATCCATTAGCAATATGGCTTCGCCGACATCGTCATCGTTCCAGACCGACAGCACTTCCGTCAACGTGTTCAACGAACACAATCTGCGCGTGCTGGGCGATATCGCCTCCGAAGTAGCATCGGTTACGAAACAATGGCTCGAACTGGTAGCAGTTTGTTGTTTGCTATTTCTCCTTCAACTTGGAATCCGATTCTTGAAACTAATTTGCAGTCAAACAACGAAGAAACAGAGGTTCTGGAGTACGTGTATGCTATGAAAGACCTCCTTAAAGGATGGAAGGTAACCAACTACTAACCATACTTCCTGGCTTCTTATTCGGTGCTCGAAAGCGTTTTTTATAGGATTTGCTTCTCCGCCAAGATAAAAGCATTGCCTCGGATCAGAGAGTCGTGTCAAAAGCCGCTGCGGCCCGTCCGAAAGACCAGGGTCAAATTGAAGAAGTAATGCGGTTAAGAAAACTGGGCGACTTAGTAAAGTCACGTTACATTACATAGATTTGTTTCTGCAGCGTTCCGGCAATTTGATCACGGCCGAGCAGCGTATCCGCTTCGGATTATACTGTATCCAGCAGGAGACGGAATTTGTGCAGATCATCTTACCACCGCTGATGAGCTTATACCTGCGATTCCTGGGGAATATCGAGAGCAGTCATTTCCAAAAGGTCAATAAATTTTTATTGGAAGAAAAATATTTTTCTATTCAATTATTGTAAATTGTTATTGGTTTGCTTTGTAGTTGTCCACAATTTGGGATGATATATCCATGATTGCCGACTGCTTACCGGCGGCTCCCAGTAAAGCCAGCGCTCCACCCTTGTGAGCGTTTCGGTTATGGAAAATAAATAACTCGTTTTTGGATAAACTTACTATACTTAAATGGGTCTCCTATGGATTTAATTAGAATCTATATTCATCACTGATAACATTGCATACGGACGAAGCAAGCGGAGTGTGTTGTATATCGTCGGCAGCGATAATGCTGTTTGTACTGTGCCAGCCCACAGATTCCCCGAGGCTACAGTTTCCTACGTTAACACATAGAGATTAATAAATTCTTTTACACCTACAGTGTCGCGTGCACGCCATACGTCCGACAATATTCAGATTATCGCAACCAGAAGCCTAATAACGTTGGAAATATCGAAATAATAATTTAATAAGAATACTGTTACTGTTTATACGAGTAATAATGCACGAGTTTTACTCTTCTTGGCAATTTTTGCAAGTTTCCATCTGTTCCTTCTAAACCAACGTACAGATTACGAAGACTTATATATATATTGGTATTGCACAGCGGTAATGTACAGATAAATGAAATCTGCCGTAGGCGACAGCGTAAAACGGCACAAAAATGCTGGTTCCACAGCTGTAAACCGCTCGAAAATGGAAAACAAGCTACTACGGATACAGAAGTGTTATACGGATACCGAGCGCCGTACTCTCGTGCCATGCGCTTTCGCGATATGTATTTGTATCATTATGTTGGCTGCGTAAATGACTGCGGTAGCGAGAAGCGTGTTAAAAATGTAGACAGGTATTTAACGCTAATTGCCAGATACTGGTTTTGATGTTTTCTTCAGTACGCACAGTTCATCTCCATGTTCATCCTGATTGTATGGTCCATCCTGTCCAGCATCGTCCGCTCCCAGTGCCCGACGTCTGACTCGGGGCGGTGCGCGGTGGATTGCACGCGCGCGGCGATTTACAACATCGCCTGTGAGAACATTAATGGCGCAGACCTGTACAAGGATCTCAAGGTGTACAACGGGGTTGACCAGCAGATTTCGCTGTTTGTATGGAATTCCCCGCTCAGCCGGATCGGCTATACGATCCTGCGGACGGTGCAGCTGGATAGTCTGGAGTTGGATAATCTGCAGGAGTTGCGCTGGTTTCCGGAGTTGCGCGGGCAGAAAGAACTGCGCTTCCTGACGATTATGAACAGTCCCAATGTCAAGGTGATGCCGCTGGAACTACTGCCCGACAAGTACGACGCTCGTATTATAATTGTGAAATCTTGAACACTTGTACAGTACTGCATAATGTACAACGTATTATGTAAATGGTCGTTCGAAATTCATTTAGGTAGTCCCAGGTTTCATCTTTTATTAGTGAAACTCACTAGTTTTACGGCATTCACTACCTTCACTAGTTTTATTACATTAGGCTTTTTAATTGCAAACTTGCACGTAATAATTATCTATTCCCTGATAGCAGTTTTTATAGTTTCTCCCGTGATTTAATACCGTTAATACTGCAGTGGAAATGCAATGAGCGGAATGTGTATTGTCTATGAACTACAGTCCTAAAGCACTGCTGATTAAGTTCTGATTATTATTTGCAAAAAAATAAGCTCTGCGAGTAATAAATGTCTCCAAATTTACATATCTTTTTTTTCACAATTACTGCATAAGGAATATTATGGCACAGCGGCTTTCCCAATAGTTCTGTAAAGTTCTGTAAAATAAATAAAGTTTTGTATTGTCTGGAACTGATTGACGTTTAAATATATAGTGTCCACCGACGAGCTTGCTAATACATAATTATGATAAATGCTCTTGCCGGTTAACCGCTAATCACCGTTCAAAAACAAGAGAATTTTAATGGCCGGGTATAAGGGTTTTACACTGTTAACGCAAACATTACGGTGCATTATTATTTAGCGGTTTCGGAATCCCAAGGCGTTTTGCAGGGAAATATTTCTTCGTGGTTGCTGTATCTCTAAACTGGTCACTGTGGTTTACCGGACACGTGGCTTCGCGAACTGCCGAGGACGGTTAATGAACTTGCACACTTGTGTAATTGGTTTCGGAATTAATGATACCACTGCAGTTTTTATGGAACTGTATATGGCTGTCGTAATCGATAGGCGTATACGTAAAGTTTACAAAATAATCAGAATTTACAAAACAATTAGAATTTTGGAGGATTTCGCCAATTAGGTACTGTAACTGATTTACTTACTTATAATTCATAAATTTAAATGAAACTTAAATTTCTGTTTATTTATTTTTTACTCATTGCTTAAATGAATAATGTAACCAATTTTTCAGTGGTAATGTCGTAGCTTTGCAAGTGGTATATAAGCTGGAGTAATGCACTCGTACTGTCATACACAATCCAAAAACATTTTTATTTGTACAAGTGGGTTACAGGATTGAACGTCTGACCCTGTTCCGCGTGGGCATCATCGCCTTCACCAACGACCTCGAAGAAGTCCCGCAACTGCCAGCCCTCACCTTCCTAGCCATCCAGGAATGCCGCATCGAATACATCCAACCCGGCTTCTTTGACGTCTTCCCCAATCTGTCCGAACTCGAGATCATCGGCTCGACGTTTGCCGCGGCGGAATACTTCCCCAACATGTTCCGTACCGTTAAACCATTGCGGAAACTACGTTTTAGTCAGAGCCAGTACGCGGACAGCGCGGTTGGTGTGTTCCGCGAGCGGATGCTGGAAGACATTATCCAGAATACCGGCATGGCGGAAGACGCGCAAGTGGATGTGGCGGATAATAGTCTGATGATTACACTACGCGCTGCCAGTGCGCTGGAGAATCTGCGCTCTGTAAAGATATTGTTCCTGCGGGGGAATTCCTTCGGGAGCTTTGTCCTGTTAATGGGGCGGTTTTTGGGTTTCAGTCGGCTGGAAGTTTTGGATATGAGTAACACACATCTCTTCACGTAAGAACATTTTGTGTACATTTCGCTATGCTTTTTCATAATTTTTGTTGAAGCCGGTTCCCCACATTATAATTCTAAATTATTCTCTCAGTTTTCAACTTAAAAATGAATAAATGTATAAAATATAGCTAGAATGATTTATACAAAATTTAATTATATAACACTTAAATGCAGAAGTAAGCAGTTAAAACTTATTTAAATTTTTAAAAATATAAAAATTAATAAACTGTTATTTATTCTGCAGAAGCACGGGAGCTTTTGCCGGATTGAAAAACCTAAAAACCCTCAAGATAGCCAGCAACAATCTGCGCGATCTAACGGTAATCAACATATTCAAAGACTGCCAAGCGAATCTCCGCCATCTTGACCTTTCCGACAACGCGCTGATGTATCTACCGATCGGCATGGAAGCCGTCTCCCGCGAGCTAACAGAACTCGTACTAAACAAAAACATACTGCGACTCCGTGACATCGTTGAAGGCCGCGCTGTCCACAACATGACAACATTCAGCGCGCTCCCGAAACTGGAATTCCTCGACATCTCTGAGAACAATCTGGGCATTTTCCAAGGTACTTGGTTATCCCGTTTGAAAACGCTACTTCACCTGAACATCGCCTGCAACAGTTTCCAAAAAATCACCAAAGATTTCTTTAAGGATTTGCCAGCAACACTGCAGGTACTGAACATGACGTTTTGCGTGCAGCAGCCAATCAACGCGCCGCGTTTTGACGACGATGCGTTTATCACGCTTCCCGCGATTAAAACGTTGATTCTCCGTGAAGGGTTTTTACGAGAAGGGATTTTCAACATACTACGTTCACTCCGCATCGAAACACTGGAGACTCTGGATCTGGATTACAATTCCATTTCCAACATCCCGGGTGATCTTAACCAACTATCATCACTGGCATCGTTACAGACATTAAAACTAAAAGCCAATAAATTACAGTCTATTGGGCCAAAAGCCTTGGCGTTCTTCACGGCGCTGCGGGAATTGAATTTAGCACGGAATCATATCATTTCCATCGGGAAGGACGATTTCGCCGGGCTCGATAATTTAAGGACCCTGAGTATCGCCGGTAACAACATTATCGAATTTGAAGCCGGTGCATTGGCGCCGCTGATCAGTTTGCAGGAACTGTACATGGGCGAGAACAACGATACGGATTTGTTGCGAATGTTTCCACTCGATTCGGAGATCGGGAAGAATCTCATCCATCTAAGCCTGCATGATATCCCGTTGAAGTGTGTTCCGGGTGGGTTGATTAAGCAGTTGAAGCGGTTGAAATGGCTGTATTTGGATGCGTCGCGGGCGGTGAATTTTCAGTTTACGTCGTTCCGCGGGATTTCCGAGACGTTCAATGTCCGGTATCCGTTCAAGTTGTTTGGGTTCGATGTGCCGACGGTGGAGGATATCGGGTGTCAGACGTACCAGAGCTGGGATACGGTTTATAATGAGTAAGGCTTAAGACTATCATGTACAACAGTAAAGTTGTTCCCAACTTACACAGCATTAACCCAGAACGGTAACTATACGGCATATTTCGTAACCATTTAATGCGCAATTAAACAGTCTGGGCCGCCGCAGAAATTTGGGCCACTAGGGAAAAATATGTGAACCATACGTGTTTGTTGCAGATCAGTGAGGTTTGTGGTGCAAGACCGATCCAACCTCGTCCCACAGCACATGATCGTTAACATACCCACCTGTCATGTGGAGAAACCCAGAAATCTCAAAGCCGTTACAGACAACCTAGTCTGCTGAATCCCTGACCAGTCGCGGCATTCAAACTTATGCCTACACTACAGAGTACTCTGTATTAGCTCAGCACAAAATCATCCAAACATGACCGCATTAGTCAGAAAATAATAATAATAATAATACAATGGCGAGAATAATAATGTGCTTTACTACTTAATTCCGGACTGATAGGCTGGTTGTACGAACATCTGCCGAGTAGAATTAAGTAAGCAGTGGGTTTCCGTTGCAGTAAACAATTGGATTGACGTAAAATTAATACTCTTACTGATGCATAATGCGCTGATAATAATATTGCATATCTGGATACACATTTGCACCGGATATATCGAGACAATTAATAGAAGCAGTAAATTGTTATTGGTTTTAAGGTTATATCTATATCCTGTTCGCAAGGCTGGATGCCAGTGTACAGGGAATGATGACTTATACAGTGGTACATGTACATAAGTGAACGATTTGTTTTAAGCAATCCTACCGCGTATGTACTGTGTAGTGCATGTTATGTAGTTAATCGTAAGCAGTGTATACTTCTACCTTCTTATATCTATATTAATTTTATATTCCGATTGTATTTTACGTTCTCCAGTTTTGAAAAATGGCACATTAATTTGTTAATTTTTATAATATTTTTATATGCGCATAACATAGGTACATAATCATATCACAATCAGTTGTACAGTTATTCTTGTTGTACAATTTTTACACTATATTACTGATATTATTAATTTTTATCGTTAACAGCATGTACAAGTAACTAGTAACTTACGATTAGTAAGTATTTAAAAATATTTTATCTATCAGTAGCATGTGCATTTGTACAATACAGGTAAGTATGTAATATATAACGAGCAAGTATCTGTATGTACCATAATCATGGATTCCTAATGACTTACCAGTGGTAAGTATTATTAAAATTCTAATAATTACGACATTTTGTACCCTGTGGCTGTAGCATGTACAAGTACTCTGCATAGATACGTGTGCGGCACATGTGCCCCGGCCGGAAGTATACCGATGGTATCTCGTACATCCATGAGCGAAGGAAGCAATTTTGCCTTCACACACTCTCAAACATTTTTTGAAACGAATGGCACTGTACAATAGAATACCCAAATGATCAATTTTGTACTTTATAATTATTATGTATTATTACGTATCAAAACTGGCGCTGAAACTGAACTTCAAACTGTTCGTATACGGAGTAAATAAATGTACAGTGCCGAACCGGACTAATAGTCCGGTTCAAAATAGACCGAAAATTTAGTAAATCCTGGCAATTGTGAGAATTCTGCAAAAGCTGAAACTGTTCGTATACGGAGAACAATAAATGTACAGCGCCGAACATCGTGCTGGTGCGATGAGGTGAATAAAAATGAAAAACGTTCGAACTTTGAACGTGTTTTTGGTGCACGAAAATTCAAACTAAAAATTTGCCAATTTTCTTCGGCGCAAAAACCTGATTCTGTAGACTGCTTCGAAAGAACATGGAACATGGATGTTTGCAGAAAATTTAAAACAGACCGTAAATGTTTTTTTTTCGGATGTCAGATTTTCAAAAGCACGCTGTAGAGCTCTTTAGACGACGTACATGTACTGTAGTTTACTGTTTAATTCGGAATCGTCAACCTCCCAAGTTTGCTGTATGCATTCTTGGTGATTACTTATGTGATACCAGTATTATAACGCACAAAAAATAAATTGTTCATGTATTGTACATAATCAATAATAATGCACAAAATGATGAATAACAAAACTTTACATAAATAATAAAATTGCAAACAAATTCCAGACTATCACCTGCGCTATCAACGAAAATTACTGTATTTTCCAGAGACGAGAGACATTCAAGGAATTTTATGGGACATTAGAAGAACTGTAACGTCGCAGTAAACCACAAAATACTACTAACATCGAAAAACATCGTTCAGTTTTGGTGATAAACAGTTTACCATTGAGAAAACCCGTCCAAGGCGAAAAATATTCAACAACAAAAGCCAATACAAAATAATTTCATCGCACTGTAGCATGTACATCATGGAGATAAAGAGAGATAACAGAATAATACGAGTCAATGAGAACGAACCTCGGCTGAAGAGGAATGCACTGTGCGATCCGTCCTAAATCCCCAACATCTTGTTCATCTTGGGCGCGAACTTGTTCAGCTTCTTCCACTGCTCCACCGACAGGGAGATCCCTTTCTTCCCGGGCCGCATCTCCCCGCTCTTGGCGTCCATGTAGAATTCGCGGATGTTGACCAGCGTCTTCCCGCGGAACTCATCCGTCGACAGGAAACGATTGTTTCCTAGATCGAATTTGGACTCATCTTCCTCGGACTCCGGGGTCGCCGCGCGTTTCTTGGCGGATTTGGATCCGGATTTGGGTTCCTCCTTCTTGGCTTTCTTCTTGGGCTTCTCCTCCACTTCGTCGTCGGAGCTGGCCTGTTTGGCTTTCTTCTTCGGCTTGGGATCGTCCAGTTCGTCGTCGCTGGAGGAGGTCTCCATCTTCTTGGCGGATTTTTGAGCGGTGGACTTCTTTGGTTTGACGTCTTCGTCCGAAGCGTCGCTGTCGTTGTTAAAGGCTTTCTTCTTCTTCGGGGTGATGTCCTCCTCCTCGCTATCGGAGACGGGCTTCTTGGTGGGTTTGGACTTTTCGTCACCGCTGCTTTTCTCAGAATCGCTCATTTTCGATGTGTTCGATTTACGACTGGATCGTCGTTGAGATCAACACGAAAAAACTGCTAATTTTTGCTGAACGCTAGGACAATCTTTCAGATTCAAAATAAACCTCGATTACTAAGTTGTTAAATTTACAATTCGCGATGAAGAGGGAACGAAAACGTTGGAAATTTCTCAAAAAGATTAAAAGAAACCTGTGTTCCGCAGTGTTCGATTTTACAAAATCTGCAACTGTCAACTGACAAACACAAACGATCGCTGCAGTCAGAAGAAGCGTGTTTGTTCATGTTTATTAACGTGGCACTCAGTTCAAGGCGGGCGCCTACTTCGCCCACTTCACGCGCGCCCACTTCACTTCCGGTTTGCAAAGGCGTTTTGCGGCGTGTGCGCCACTTCGGATCTGCGTTGTGGTTTATATGTTTAAGCTTTGGTTCTTATTTTATCGCTCCATGTTTTGGTTCTACATTTTTGTTTTAGTTTTCGATTTTAATAAATTTGCAACTGGTAGACAATCGCCGAAAGTGAAATAAAAACCGGAACTCTGAAGTCAAAGCGCGTTTATCCAGATTGCTAACTTGACTGCTCGACGAAGGCGGGCGCCTGCTTCGCTCGCTTGCACCTTCCGGTGCGTGTTGAACCTGCTTCAGCTCGCCACGCCACCAAGTGTGCGCAATAACTTCCGTTCTGATGTCGCTATATTTTGGTTTGTCAGATTTTGTAAAGTTTCACAACGTGGAAAGTTTCCGCTGTGTAACCTCGTATTCACTCCTTATCCGTTCGAGCTTGTCACAACAGTTAGTCAGATTATCTCGTCGTCTTTGTGGGGACGTGATTAATTTGGGGGTAATCTAGTTCACGGTATCAGTGATGATTTGTGTGGAATGTCACGGGGTTCTCAGTGGAAATCTGTGATATAAAAGCAGCCCACAGTATCGGTGAAGGATTTTCTTTTTCGGACACTCATGATTGGTTTGTCTTTATCACGAGCTGTCTCGTCCGGGGAACTCACACTTCACCATGCTGATGCCGGAGTTTGTTGGGCGCTTCCTGGCGGATGTCGCCGTCAACACCACCAACAGCACCGAGGTAAAACTGCATTTTAGAAAAATCGAGGAAAATACCCGGAAAAAAATAAGAATTTGAGTGATGTCGTAATGCCGTTGAAAATTTGCATATTTCACAACTTTCCTGTCTTTGCATTGATAGACTTGTGGTAAAAATCACTGCATGTAGATATTTAATTTAAAAAAAATTTGGAAAATATTTTGCAAGGATTTTCGCTGCGCTGAATATCCGCGTAAAAATATGGAAAAATTCTTAATATTATTATAATTAATTGAATTATAAAGCTCGAGTGTGAAGTTAATTTGATTTAAATTTAATTTATTCAGTTAATTGCTGTTGATTTTTTTATCAATTATATATTGACAGATTGCAGGACTTTTCGCTGCGGTTAAGTACCCGCGTGAAGAATGAAAAAAATTAAATAAAATTATACGTACAATGAGTTGTATCCTAAAGATTAAGTGTCTTAATTCGATTAAAGTTTAATTTAAAATTGTTAAATTAATTGGTATTGATTTCTATAATAAATGAGCGTTTGTTGCATGCTGTTGCAGTGCTACGACATAATCAAATTCAACAAGGAAATGGGCTACAATGCCTGCTACACGGTGCAGACGGATCCGAACTGTGAGAGCGAAGGATACATTCCGTATCTGGAGTGGTACTACTGTTGGCTGGGAGATGCCCTCATCCCACTCGCCGTCTTTTTAACCGTAAGCATCACTTCCATGCGTTTCCGTCGGATAAATGGATATAATATTTAAATAACAATTATTTTTACTTTTTTGTGCATTTAATTCAAAATTTAACAAGTGTATTTGGTTTAGCAGATGCATTTTCATTTATTGAATTTTATTTACAGTATGAGTTGATTAATTTTTCTGTTTATTTAATAAGTTATTTTTTGGATTATTGTTGTATTTGTTGAATTAATTTTTGTTTACTAAGTACGTGTTTATTGCCGTATTTGGTTAATTTTTTGTAATATTTATTAGTAATTTGTTGTGCACGTGTTTTTCTTGTTGTTTATTTACATTTTTTGTAGTTCCTGTGGATCTTCGTGCTGTTTATAGCCGCCGGCCTCGCCGCGGATAACTAGTGAGTAGGCGAAATTGTTTGCGGTTTGTCGCTGGGTGAGGCCCCCAATAATTCGTGCTGCGTTTCTTTCTGCTTGTAGTTTATGCCCCTCGTTGACGATGATCGCCAAGAATCTGCATCTGAGCGAAAATTTAGCAATATCCTTTTTCTTCTAACATTTTAAAAATGTCCAGCATCGTATTTTGACCAGCTCCGCGGTTTCGTTAACTTGTTGTCGTTTTGCACGGTGTGACATTTTTAGCATTCGGCAACGGCGCTCCGGACATCATGTCCTCCATTATCGCCGTGCACTCGTCCAGCGGGGATCCCGGATTGGCCATTGGAGAGCTGATTGGTGAGTTATTAATGAAAAATCTTTCGCAATGCTGGTATTAAGCAGAATAACACAGTGACTGAATAATAACATTTTATATAACAAGGAGTGCCGCTTATTGACTTGCGCGCAACGATGGTAGTGTAGTGGCATAGCATTTTTCGATACCTGCCTTCAAAGCAGTGTTCTACGTTAAAACTAAATTATTTTGACCGATTATTGTGCTGAATCTTAATGTAGTCAGTTATTTTGTAAATAAAACCAGAAGTAAATCACGTTTAATTTTAAATTAAACCTAACCGCATAATGATCTGTACGATCTGTACTGATCCCGGAGATAGCTGTCAGACTGCGCTGGTCTGTTTGGAATTTTATTGTAAACAGTATTTTGAATTATTCTGCGCCGCGCCGCGTTTCTCTTGTTGATTTTCTATTTAATTTTTTCCTTTTTTTTATTGTTATATGAATGAGTTACGCACTGTGTGTTATCGGTGAAAGTTTCTGTCTTGCATCGGTGTTGCCATGTGTTCACAGAAAGTTGATCTGTGGAATTTTTCCAAAAAAATCATTAAAAAGTTTTTGCGACTTATGTTGGGTGTTTTTATTATGTGGTTGTTTCTGTTTCTTCAAGGGGGTGGGATTTTCGTTACAACGGTGGTAGGCGCCGCGGTGAGCATCCTGGCGCCCTTCACCATCATGCGGCGCCCCTTCCTGCGCGACGTGTCCTTCTACATTGCCGGCGTGGTGTGGATTATCGTCGTGCTGTGCCGGGGCCGGATTTACTTTGCGGAAGCCATCGGGTTTCTCTCGCTGTACGGCGCGTACGTGGTGGTGGCCGTGGGCGGACGGATCATCCGCAAGCAGTGCTATCGTACGTGCCCAGTATGTCTCATTAAGTTGAATAAATTCCCATTTCCACTGAACCACTCGCTATTCTTTTCCGGAATATTTCTTTTTTCTCTCTCGAGAATTAGTTAAAAAATTAATGACTAATTAAATATTAAGGTAAAGAGGTTGTGGAGTGTAGAACGCCGTTGTGGAACAAATAATATTAATAATAATGTTAATATTGTTGGACACTTTACCATGATTGTTATCGTAATCGTAATCGGAAGAAATCGCAATTTACCGATCACTAACAAGCAGTGCAGGATTGTGTGGAGGTATCGTAGTGCGTGGGCACAGTATACTAGGCTCTTCGTGCATTGTAGATTGTGATGTTCCTTAATGAAATTTTAAGGGTTGCTGTTTGCATTGTACGAAATTATGTTTTTTGTACGGACTGCAGCTGTAATGACTATGAGTACTAGAATGCTTGAAAAAATTGTAATAAATCTGGTACTGTTTTCGATATTTTCCATAAAATAATGCTATTTAGAGAAGAAATCACCGCGTAACCGACCTGTAGCAAAACTGCAAAGTTGGTCAGATATCGTAGAATTGTGGTGCAGTATGACACTCTGGGTATGCAACGTCGTGACACCGGCATATTTAAAACTGGTTTAAATATGGGCTGTGTAAATAATGCTAAAAGTTTTTACTGTACGGACTGCAAATAATCTGTGTGCCCGTTCGGTTGGCGGAAGTTATTTCTTTTAAATAGAGCGGTGAATTATTTATTGTAGCCACGGGGAAGTTCCTGGTGGGCAATGACAGCATCACCCATCTGCCACCCAACGCCAGCGACGATGATTTATTGGATGAGGACGGACACGCCCTGTCGCCCACCCCGCCCGGCGAGGATGAGGACGACGGCGATGTGCCGCTGATTCTGCGCTCGGGCTCCGGACGGATCACGTGGTACGGAGATTTCATCCGCGGGATCCTGCCACAGGAGATCTTCCGCTTCAAGGCGCTCAGCGTGTGGAAGAAGATCACATGTATTGTGTCGGTAAGGAAAACGAAGCGTTCACTGCTGTTTAACGACTAATTTTATTTTGACAAAATTATCCAGTGAATTTTGCTGATTTTTTAATTAACGATGGACTTACGGTGACGAAAAGATTTGTTGGTGCGTTGTTTTTCCTCATTATACCATGCTGTGAAATTTTATTACGCAGAAGATGGTGTGTGTTTTTTAAAAATTAGTATTGGCGCAGCATGACGTTTTTTGTTAAACTGGATAAATTTGTTCCGATTTAAAGTGCCCTTAAAATTATGCCCAGTAATTTCCAGCTACCGTACACAGTACCGTGCAAATCACAGTGCTTTGGTTGTGTGTGGTCGTAGTGCAGTGACTGTAAAGCGTTAGGGAAGATCGTTTTGTTGTCAGTGATTATAAATGCGTAATTATGACGTGTTTTAAATACCCAACAAATATGGTGTTTTCGTTTTTTCGCACTTTTATTTCGGCTCCGTTGGAACGGAGTATGCATAAACTGTAACGATTTATTATGTTTTATTATAATTTACGTATTTGTCAGCGAATCAACGTGTAATGTTTGCACATAAATAAAATCGGCGATTATTTTGCAGTGGTGGACATTGATGGCCATTAATGTGCATACCTACCGTTTTAGGTGCCGTTTGAAATTATTCTCAACCTGACGGTGCCGGTGGTGGTGGATCAACGGGAGGACCCCAAGCAGCGCTGGTCCAAAGTGTTGCGCGTTATTAACTGTGTCACGTTGCCCATGCTCGTCGTCGTGCTCGTACCAGGTGGCGTGATTTGGCAGTTCGGCTACACTTTTACGTTAATAATTTGATTTTCTTATGAGGTTTCTATTTAGTTAGTTAATTTATTTCTTCTGCGTAATTTTCATTTAGCTAATTAGGCTTTCGACGTTATTTATTTATTTTTCTTTATGTTGGTTGTTTAGTTATTTAATTTTACTGCCTGGGTTTTTTTATTTGATTATTTTCTCACGTTATGTATTTAACTATTTACTTGTATTTCTTCACATTACTTATTTATTTGATTTTTCTGCGCGGTTTTATTTAGTGATTGACGTTTTTTATTCGTTATTTATTTAAGTAAGCGTTTTCTTTAGGCGGCAATGCCAATTTAAGCGGCGTCTTTCCGGCGTGGGCGCTGGCGCTGCTGATCGCGCTGCTGGTGGCCGCCTTCGTCTTCTTCACATCCCATGTTACGGAGCCGCCCTGGTATCATATTGTAAGACCATTTTCCAGCATTTGTTACGTTAATTCCGTAGTGCAGCAGAATTTTATTACGGTATTTTTCGGGTGTATATTTCTTGCCTTTTTTGTACATCAGTCAATGGGTATAGTGCACTGTATAATAGTGTCCTTAATGGTGTTCCTAATTTTGTACAGTGTCATGTAATACTGCCGATCGTATCGGTGCTTAACAAAATGCGGATGGCAGAATATTTTGTCAGCTAGTTCCGTATTTGAATTGTTGTACCTTTGTGTGTAGTCTTTTAAAAAAATTTTGAAAAATAATATTTTCGGTGATTTATGAGAATTATTTTTCCGGTTGTGGGCAATCCGTAAGCGTTTTCTCCGGGTAGGTGTTCGCGTACCTGGGCTTCTTCGGGGCCTGCGTGTGGGTGTATCTGACGGCCAACGAGATCGTGGCCTGCCTGCAGACCGTGGGGATCGCGCTGAATGTCAAGACCACCATTCTGGGATTGACGGTGCTGGCGTGGGGTAACAGTATTCCCGGTAAGCAGGACACAGCCCCGTTTTTCAGTAAATATGCTCCCTTCGCAAAGGAGAATCGTGATTGGCAGAATTTATTTGCGGATGAATTGTACAAATATTGGATTTTGTAGATTTTATTGCCGACACAGGAATGGCCCGCCGCGGCCAGCCACGGGTGGGAATATCGGCCGTGTTCGCTGGTCCCATGATGAGTAAGCGCCGGTTTTTAAACTGAATTAAACACTCCGTAATGTGTCTTTATTTTCACTTGCTTTGTAAATATTAAAAGGCGGAATATACATTAAAAATAAAATCAAATACATAAGCTAAAGTGTTGTACCTTACTCGTTTGCTGATGGCTGTGCGAGGTCGTAGTGCAGTGACTGTGGACATACGGGATGCAATTGATAATATATGTTATTGTGAATTATTGACTATGTTTTTGACCTGGTGAATCAGTGAGAAATTAATTTTTTTGATTGTTTTATTCTTCCTACAAGGGCGTGTTACTTGGCATCGTTTCGATAAAGTTGGTCAGTGCACTTACAAATCAAACTATTTTTTGTTTTGAAAAATTTTTCCAAACCATTTCTTCAGTTTAATTTATCGTACTTTGCTTTGAGTTATACTTTTTTTGGTTCACTGATTCACGTTTAGACTTATTAACTGTAAAACATAATTTTTTTTCAATTTAAAATTTCATGTTTGAAAAAAATTTAAAGTATTTTTTTCGTTCAGCTGATCGTGTTCCTTGCGTTTTCGCGGTTAGTGATTTAATTTGTGTGCAAATATTTCCGTATGTATTTAATATGTATAATTATCTCATATATTTATCCGATAAATGTATTTTTAAATATAACTACAGGTGTTTGTACAGGCAATCGAAAATCATCCAGAAGTTGCTCCGTCTAACGGATCGTAATTTCCCTTAGGTTATGCTATTATTTTTCGGATTATTAAGTTCGTGTAAAAACTAGTTTTTATTATTTAAAATTATTTTTATTTGAGAAAATACTCGAGCAGTTTTTTTATGTAACCCAACGTTACCTTGTAAAGTAAGTAATGAAATTAACTGGCATGCAATCAGATATTCGCATAACGGTGTACTTAACAGATTTATTACTGGGCGTGGGCACCTCCTTCTGCTTCGCCACCAGCACGGTGAATCCCTTCCCGGTGCAGACCACCTCGCTGTCGCTGCTGTCGGCCGGGACGCTAATGGTGTCGCTGGTTTTTTCATTAATCTACATCGTGGCCGCCCGCTTCCGGCTGGCCCGCGTCTACGGCGGCATCCTCCTGTTTCTCTACGTCCTCTTCCTTGGACTGGCCATTCCCACCGCGCTGGGCGTTCTCATGTGATTTGTACGCGTGTCAGCTGTGTTGAAGAATAGTTTTTATTTGATATTAATGCACATCTGTGATAAATCGTGAGTTTTCCGGTTTTTGTTTCCTATTGCGGTGAAAATGGCAGACGGTGATTTTTTAACCGTGATTTATTTGTCCAGTGTTAAACGGATGTATCGGATTCGAGTATGTTCTAAAAATGCTCAAAAATTTTTCCACTTTCCAGTCTCATTAATTGTGAGTTGTTTAATAAATATCGATTAATTTAATCGGTCAACTGACATCAAAACATCTCATTTCCGCGTTATGTCAGAACGCTAATAAAAACACAAAACTATTAATCAAGTCCAAAAATTACCATGTACAGTATAGCAAAACCGGGCAAAAACAGAAAACCGGGTTAAAACAGAAAACCGGATTAAAACATAGTACTTAAGTCGCCATCATTTTTTACCACTAGTATAATTTCGTAAAAGTAGGAATGAGATTTCATGAAACAAAAGCGGAAATAAAAATGCTCAAAATTTCTAGCAGCAATCTGATACACTTTGGCAGCAAACACTTTCAAGATTCCTTAGCAAAACATCCGATCTAACAGTTTAAGCACCCGCAAACATCGCGTGAAACACGGCAATAAAATTCGCTATTTATGGCAATCACGTACGCACTAAAACCTAATCCGCTGGAAAGGGCTTCACGGCATCTGCCGGGGAATCTCCACATCCACATGGGTCTGATCAGCGTGACCGGATTCTGTGGGAACCACGGTGCTACGCATCCACGTAATTCCCTTTTTTTTCAACTTTTTGTGACATTTCCTACAAAATAAAAGGGCACAAAAAGCTAAAGAAAAGAATAAAAAAATTCGCCGCGGAGAAAAATATTATACGGGATGATGGCAACAGTTAACAGCATTACTACAGCCACTGCACTACGATAATTACTCTGCATTCTCTACGCTAAGATTTTGGCGCGCAAATTGCAGCATTTCTTGATAGGCTGTGAACTTACGTTTTTAACGCTTCGAGATCGTCACGAGTGCCGCGCACCATAAATGTCACCCATGCGGCCGGAAAAAAGTTTTCTTTGCTTGTGCGGGGCATAATTTGAGAAACCTTCTGTGTGAATTCTTCCATAATCTGAAAAACTGAAAACTTCTACACACGTCAAAATAAATATATACAAAAAACGAATAGTTAGCAATACACTACAAATACTTTATACAAACTATAAGTATACTATATCATAATTATATTACTCTTACACATAACTAAATTTTTAATATTTTTTCTTAATACTTTAATAGCTATTACCTACCTGTACATTTTTTTATTTCTATCATTTTATTGTACTACTACTTATACAGTATTATGTCATTAGTATTGTTATAATTATGGACTCATAATTAGGTCACTTACACCAAATTTATTTAAATAATCCACCGTGGTGCTTTCATTGTTCAAATCCTCTATCAGTTTAACACCGTTTACGTCTGCAAAAAAATTTACAATATTCATTTTCATACCAACGATGCATTTTCAGAAAACAGTGTAGAAGCTTCCAGACTTACCCAATCGAAATTCCACAGAAAACGTTTCTGTGAAAATTAACGTGAAAGATTAGCTGGTTTATTAACCAATCCACATTGAAAAGATATTTCAGTTTTTTATTATTCTCCGGTACATGTACAAGCAAGATAATTCTCGTAATTAATTTTTGAACGTTTTAGTCAAACGCAGCAGCGCAGAGAATACCGTCTCTGTTGCGCGGTACCGCCGGTACGTGAATCCATATTGTGAAAATGTCAGGAATACGGAAAACGTCTAAGTACCGAAAACCTATCAGCATTACCTTGCTTTTCCGAGTAGGTATGCACGGTAAGGAAATTCTTGTGCATGTATATCTTCGCGAATGCATTGATTCTGGCGGTGGGCGCTGTGGTTACGAACAGAATTCGGCAGCGCGGTAGCAGTTCAGGCGGCGGCAGCAACAGCGGATGCAATATTTTGGTCACCACTTCCTCCAGATCGTTGGCCAGCATCGAATCCAGTTGGTCGACTACCATATATCCGGTATGGTCTAAGTTGACCAACGACACGTGACCTTCTGTCAGCAATTTACATAGACGGCAGGGCGTCGCCACCAGTATGTCACACCCTTTCTCCAGCTCTTCCATCTATTTCCGAGGAAATCAATTCACAAAATAATTTACCGCGCCAGAAATTGAAATGATTATTACGGACATAATTTTTTATTTCACAAAAGCAGACAAACCATTCAGATGGGACTTATGCATCGTTTGGAAACGTCACTGTCTGGTCGACAAAACACAAGAAAAAAACAGAATCCACCAAAAAATTTAACTATAAAAAATCAATCAGCTAATTTTTTAAGTTACAAACATGAAACATCGCCCAGAAAAATTAAATCACTGTGACAAATTTGTGATCAACTAGACTGTGGAATAAATAAAGAAATACACTCCGACTGTACAGAGGGCACGCATACCAACCGCTAACGGGAATAAGAACATTGTTAAATCATATGCAAACTCGGATTTTTCACCTGGTGTTGGTTCTCTTTTCTCTTGCCGGAAAAGACGACAACCAAGCTAATGCGAGTGCGATACGTGAACTTTTGGGCTTCAGCGTAGATCTGGACGGCCTGTTTGCCGGTGGCTGCTAGGACAACCACCTTTGGCGTCGGAATCCGTTTATTTTCCCGCTGGCACAGCACAACAAAACAACGCTACTTAATTCATAATTACTGACTTATGTCTCAGTTGACACGCGGAAGAAAACTGTAAAGCTTATTGTTACAGAAATATTTTTAAGTTAGTATTGTTTTACAGACGACTACTGACTCTTAACACTAAAAACAGCAGTGCCACGAGCTAGCGTTGTTCTCTTATTCGCACTTTTCAACTCGCACGGTTTTGTCCGGCACAAATACATGACAGTTACTGTGTTAATCTCCGAAAGCTTCTGTGCGCCATAAACATTTTCCAATATTTGTTTTAAAATTAAAAATTTCGATTTTTACAGATTTTATTATTTTTAAAATAAATTACCGCAAACACTTACCGTCATGTGAATTTCTGGCGGACCGTCGTTCAACATGTGCGATACAATCGGAGCCAAAAAAGCCACAGTTTTGCCCCAAGCTACACAATTAAATAACTGTGAAATCCGTACAATAAACGCAGACAAAAATTTAAATTTTTCAAACAATTAAAAATAAATCAGTAGCGCAAGCGCCAATTAAAGCCACGAGTAGCGAAAGCGAAAAGACACGTAAAAAATAATACAATGTACCTTTTTCCGCACAGATTACCAGATCGTGACCGCGCATAGGACTGCACCGGTGCCAGTCTGACGGAAACCAATAAACGCCGCATTACAATCAATTGCACAAAAGTAAATCTGTAAAAATTCCTGCGTAGAAAACAGTTCCGGATTAATTTGTCACCTGTCTTTGTAACCGGCCAGCTCCATATTTTGCTTGATAATGGCATGCAGACTGATACGACTATAACTCTACAAACACAAAACAAAACAAAATCAAGCCACACCAGTCGCCCTGGCGTAAAAAAAATTAAGAAAAAATTGCGAAACACTTAAAAAAACCAAAATTATTAATTTTGTATAAGGAATATTTACTTATTTTATTTTATTTTTACAAAAAATATTATTGTTGCAAAAATGGAAGGAATGCTCATTATACGGATGTTATACCGAATTAGGTAGTCCATTAACATCGCTTATTTTCACTTCAGTATCCTTAAACTTGTCGAAGTCAATGTCCGATTTCCGGTACAATTTTCTAAAAAACATAAATAAGTTACCAATTCAGAGAACAACGGCAAAAAATTAGGAATACCGTAATCAACTCCAGTGCACTACGATGCATTCCATTGCCGATTTCCAGACATACATCAAGAATAGCCAGTTAATTCGCTTAATATCATGCATCCAGTTCCAGAAAAGCACAAGTTATCATTAACACAATTAATCTGCACATTACGATAATAATTAAATCATAAGCACTGATTATCGAAAAGGCCATCAATTTAATTTTGATTTAAAGGTCTTTATCAATGTCATTCATGTAATTTTCGAAATAATTAAATGTTTTTATTTATGCAGTTCAATTCCATTTTACAAATAAATACGTAGTTCATAATTTTTCAGTGTATTTCGATGTCATTATTATAATTTACTTATTTAAATAACAATTAAAAGTGATTCAGATGAATACAGCAATAATTTCAACACCGAATTTTAAAGTTTTTAAAGTACGTAAAAACCATACAAATCCACAAAAACTGAAAAAACCGCCAAGGAAAATCCTGCAATCATCGCATGTACGGATGTACCCTTCCAGAACGTGATCCCGCGGAAGCGGCGAATTCCACTCTTCCGGAGTGAACTTCTGCACATTACTCCCTTCGAGCTGATTTCCACTGGAGCCACCATCATGCAGCTGCTGACCGTATCCGCCGGCGCCGCCTACTTCCCTGACGACGGTGCTGCCGGCAGCCGTGCAGCCCGCGGCGGTAGCGGCGCTGTTGAAATGGCGCTGTTGGTTGTGCTGGGCATCCGCGGCACCGCCGGGACGCTGCGGCTGCTGGTACATTTGGGCTTGGGATGGCTGGGTGTACGCGGTGTACGCCTGCTGCGGGTTGGTCATGCCCTGCGCCAGATAGGCGTTCTGCCAAACGCAAAAACCTGTGTATATGACGCTGCATTTCCTGTTGATTCCGTCGATACATTATCACAACAGAATTAACAAAACGAACACTTAAACTCTTTTTTGTGGACTCGGCGTATAAATTTCCCGCTGCTTTTTTATGTAAAAGCCAATTTTTAGAAATAACTCTGAGAATATTTCTAATAATATCTCGCTTACTGAAGGGAATTAAGCTGGCTAATATTAAATTTAAATAGGAAAGCTAATTATTATCCGAATTTAATATCACTGGCTGGCTGAATTAAAAATTTTTATGTTTGTAGAAATACGCCAGAAAGGTTCATACAAATAGAAAAAAAACGTATCTCAAGCTTTATTTCTGAATAAAGAAACAATTTTATAAAATATAGCCTTTATAAATTCAGCATAGTTCGTAAAAATTTTCTTGTTTTTCAAAATAACCATTTAAAGTTTTCAATGTTAATTTCACACCTGATCCGCTCCAATTTTTAAACGCGCTTAACGGCTATACAGGATTATTATTATTCCGCACACCGAAACCGATCTACTTTCACCATTTCGAAGAAATAAAAACTATCTCCTCAAAATCTTTTCCCAGGAAATCGGCCCCGCTACGGCGCTTCTGGATTCTAAGTTACAAAATTGCACAGCACAATAAGCACTTCCCCTCTCCGCGCGCCACTCAACAGCACAGCGGACAGATGCCCGGTATCTATTCTTAAAATCCCCTTCTTCCAAGCGTACAGTACGCTCTGTGACAGTAGTGTGCAGTACTGTCACGCCGTTTGTAAAACCAAATTACCGCACAAGAAATCGATTGTTCTCCCGTTGTACACGCGCCGAGGTACCTTACCGCCGTTACCGGCATGGTAATTCAACGAGATTACTCGCTTACGTTAATTTGAAGTTATTTTGCATTACGGAACGGAACTCACGGCAACGCGCGATGAGACAACCGAATATGAGACGATCACAGGCTCCAATATGAATATGAGACGATCACAAGCCGATCGTAAAACCGTAAGTACAAATACGACAAATCGATGCCCGTAACAATGGCTTGTGTGTTCTGACTATTCTCCCATGCTACACGCCCTTATTCCTAATCAACCAAGTTTTCTGGCGTCAAAATGCAAATCCAGTTCAGTAAAAATATTAATTTTTAATTATTCATCCCGAAGTGTGCAGACAGAAAGAAGAGAGCAGTTCCGCCGCCGCAGAATGAGAAAGCGAATTAATTTTATTAATATTCGGGCATATGCATTTTTCTCTGAAGTTTTTCCAAGCCCAGCGGAGGGCATACGTTAAGAAGAGACAAATCAGACAAGTACTGTAATTTCTTCCACACAACAGCTTTTTGAAAGACCACACGAACTGCCTTAGGGAAAAAAATGTAAGAAATATATCAAAGCAGTTAATTAAATTAGAAATCGATTTAAGATAACTGACTTGCTTCCATCTTATTCAATCGCTGTAGTACAGTTCTCAGGTTTAATAATGGCAAATTTATCTAAGAGTTTTGATTCTGCCGAAATTGACAGGTGATAAAAAGTGGCACTGGCACCTGCCATTGGCAACTGCCACTGACAATGGCATGTGCCACTATGTGTTCTGGCAAGCAACAAAACCTGGCCAATTTCAGAAATGTGGAATCAGATCATTTTGCCGCACAGTGACAAGTTCTGCAGAGAGAATCTGTTAATTTCATGGCTAATACATGGGAAATACCAATCTAAATTTATCGACAATCGACATAAATTATGAAATATTAATTTATTCCTTTACACTGGTATAATGCACTTTATTCAGCTTAAGTACAATGAACAGCGTCGCTACAAAAGAGTCAACAAATGTAAATGAAAAGCGGTCCCAATTCGCACGTGAGGGAACCGTGGCCAAAACGAGCTGCGCGTTCCTTCGCCAGATCTCTAAGCCTAAGAGCAGGATTCGCCCGTTCGTTCAAACAACCTATTACTAATGTTTTTGAACAAAATAATAGGCCCTTACACCATAGGCCAAAGACTCGCACGCCAGAGGAACAAAATGGCACAGATCTAGAATGGAGCGATATTTCGCCTTCTTTTCCGTGTATAGCCTGTAAGGCGGCGGCTCCAGCAGATCGAGATGTAGCTTCCAAGCATGTGTCGCACATCGTATCGCGGCAAATGACGTCTCACACAAGAGGGTAGACCACGGAGTCCTTTCCTGTTCCAGCGTGTTCCACCGCCTGGGCTCTTGCCCAGCTAGTTCGGCTGTACACTTATCTTAATCTTCAGAGGAGTGAATTTGTTAATGTCTAAGACAAAGTGCAAGTGGAAGTCGCTCTTGGCATAATTTCGCGTCAATCACCGTATCTGCTTATCTTACATTGCTTTTGCAATGAAAATTACGGGACAACCTTGTATTTTCACAGCCGTAAAGATTCGTCAAAACCACTTAACTAACAATAACGCAAGAGTGACCTGCTTCCGTCAGATGCATCCAAGTGCTAGTTAGCGTTTGAACCCGCTAAAAAAACCTAGCGGAGCGACTTGCATCCATATATTATTTGTAGCTGTATCGCTCAATATTTTGGGAGGCGCTGTCTCTGAGGTGTCCAGAGATTAGACGTACTCGTAATCACGTAAAGTGTGTACAACCACTTCGACCACTTGCGATTTGGACCACTAGACATTTTGGCCATCGTACATAAAAGTTTCTTAGACTAATGGTTCTTAGTTTTCTTATTTTTTCTTGTTTTTTATTAAGATTTCTGAGATTTGTTTCTCATGTTTGGTATGTTTTGTTTTCTTATGGTTTTTTGTTTTTTAAAGATTTTTTGGGTTCTCGTATTTCAGTCTTACGTTACTTTTTGTTAACTTCCTTTCTTTGTTTTCTGTGTTTTTGGTTTCTTATATTGCTCTCCTGCTTACGGTGTGCCAAGTGTCATTAAGCCCAGTTGATGTCATGCGGCTCATGCGGTCATGCCAGTCAGGTTGGTCAAAGTATTAAACTGCTTGTGGTTTCGTATTTCTTCTGCTTTCAAATTTTTTCTTATATTCATTAGATTTATTTACAATAACAACGGCCGCCGATGGGCCGTTGCAACTTACAAGTGTCATGTATCCTCACTCCTTGGTTATAAAATTTACAGATTTGCTCCGTAGAACTGATCATCGCGCGGCAGAATTATCTGCTTTCGCATTTCTGGCATTTGCCAGGCTATATTGGTTTAAAATTAACAGATCTTTCCGTAGAACTGATCATCGCGCGGCAGAATTATCTGATTCCGCATTTCTGGCATTTGCCAGGCTTTATTGGTTCAAAATCAGCAGATTTTCTCCGTAGAACTGATCATTGCGCGGCAGAATTATCTGATTCCGCATTTCTGGCATTTCCAAGATTTAATGGCTTAAAATTAGCAGTTTCTTTCCGTAGAACTGATCATTGCGCGGCAGAATTATCTGCTACCGCATTTCTGGCATTTCCGAGGTTTTATTGATTTTTAAATCAATAGAACCTCGGAAATGCCAGAAATGCAAAAGCAGATAATTCTGCCGCGCAATGAACAGTTCTACGGAAAGAATATGTTCCTTTTAAACCAATATAGCCTGGCAAATGCCAGAAATGCGATAGCAGATAATTCTGCCGCGCGATGATCAGTTCTACGGAACAGATTCTTTCCGTAGAACTGATCATCGCGCGGCAGAATTATCTGCTTTCGCATTACTGACATTTGCCAGGATTTATTGGCTGCCGCAACGCATAATGGCTGATGCCATTGTCAATGGCAGATGCCATGGTCTGTTGCAGTTGCCAGTGGCAGGTGCCACTGCCACGTTTTATCCTCTGTCATTTCGACAGATTTCAATTCCTATAAATTCCTAAAAAACTCTTCGCAGAATTATATCACAAGTCACAGCGCCAAGAAAATATGCTACTCATATTACAAATCACTATTCCAAAAATTAGTTTCCCTCCCGCAGTCCCACTTGCTGCATCGACTTTGCAAAAGTTACAGGCCCGATATTCGTAAATTTAGAAAATTTTCATTTATAAGGTAAAAATAAGTTACTCGGTAAAATATTTTAAACAGCATTTACAAGTCACAATAAAAGATAAAACTTTCAATTTGAACACGAAGCAGGAAAAATCAGTTCCAATAAAATAAATCCAGCATCACGGGTTAGGTGTTTTAGTTAAATTTCTGAATACTGTACGCAAAATTATTGTTAGCTTTTCGGCTTGACCAGGAAAAAATAAATAATTCCCGAACAAAAATTGCAATAAAAAAAATGCAAAAATCCACCAACCTGCATCCCGGGATAGAACATCGTCACCGGCGCGGCGCCCTCCATCATCCCCGGAATTACAGCACCTGCGACGGCCTGCCCCGCCCCATACCCGTCGGCGGCATAGCCCCCCAGGCGCGGGAAGGCCCCGAAACCCTGCTGCATCCGGCGCATGGGCGGCGGAACATACGTATTCGCCCCGTCCACCACCCCGGCGGACTGATGCTGCTGCTGTTGACGTGTCGGCTGTAGCTTTTGGGACGCCGTCAGAGTGGCCAGCGACACCGTGGCAGAGGCATCGGTCGCCGCTTCAGTGGAGAACTGGCGGGTAAAGCCCCCTAGTGAATGGAATGCCCCGAGAACCTGCTGCAGGGGCAGCTGCTGCATCTGGCGCATTTGCGGCGGCACGTACTTACTCGCCCCGCCCACCACCCCTGCGGAGGCCTGCTGCAGCAGCGACTGCTGTTCGCCAGCCGTCACAGCGTCCGCCGATACCGCGGCCTTCTTCTTCGGAGATCCGTCATCGTCCTCGCCGTCGGAGACGGGCTTCTTGGTGGGTTTGGGCTTTTCACCCGCGCTGCTCTTCTCGGAATCGCTCATTTTCGATGGGTTCGATTTACGACTGGGTGAGATCGTTGAGATCAACACGAAAAATCTCCTAATTACTGAACGCTAGGACAATCTTTCAGATTCAAAATAAATCTCAATTCCTAAGTTGTAAATTCATAATTCGCGAAAAAGAGAGAGCGAAAATATTGAAAATTTCTCACATGAAATCTGAGTTCGATTTTAGAAAATCTGCATCTGATAAACAATCTGTTACAATCAAACACAAACGATCGCTGCAGTCAGAAGTTCCAAAGAAGCGTGTTTGTTTATGTTTATTAACGTTGCCCTCAGCTCAAGGCGGGCGCTTGCATCGCGCGCGCACTTCGCTTCCGGTTTGTAGAGGCTTCCGCTCGCTACGCCACGAAGTACGCTTTGCGCCACTTCGGGTCTGCGTTGTGGTTTATATATTTTTTTGGTTTTTATTTCATCGCTCTGTGTTTTGGTTCTACATTTTTGTTTTATTTTTTCAATTCTGAAAAATTTGCAACTGGCATACAATCGCTGAAAGTGAAGTAAAAACCAGAACGCTGAAATCAAAGCGCGTTTAATGTTTATCCATGTTGCATAACTTGGCTGCTCGACGCTGGCGGGCGCCTGCTTCGCGCCCATGCTGCACTTCCGGTGCGTATTGAACGAGAGCATGGTAATACTGTACCAGGGCAGGTCTCAATACAGGCAATATCCGTGGCCTGTTAGTCTGTTACGACATCACTAGAGTAGCTCGCATATTTAAGCGCGGCTCTGGTAAAACGATGCGGAAAATCGGTTTTCTCACTTTTTATGTTTGTGTTGAACGGGATTCGAACTGCAAAATACGCGTATTAACTTCCTCTATTTTTTAAATCAAAACACCCTTAAATGTTTAGCGTGCACGACTAAAAATCAATTTCCCACTATTTTTTCTTAATAATTTCCCCATACGAATGTAGTGTTATATTACAGTACTGCAAATCTTCGATGCGTGTTTAATGATTATACGTATCTCGGTATTCTCCATGTAAATTAGTACCAATTAATTCTTTTAATTTTTTTCATAGATTTTGAAATGTTTGTTGGAAAAAATCAATAAAGCCAACTCGTGCAGTAATAATTTTGCAGTATAGTGAGTATACCGGCAGAAACCAAGTTTCCAACAGCCGCTTTTGCAACTTTCCGCACAGTACTTAATCATGTTACCTCTTCCCATTGCATATTTTATATTAGAAATAAAATCCCAACTGCAAAAAAAAGAGTGAAAACGACTAAAAAAATATAAATTAGCTTTAAAAAGCTTAACAAATTAAGAATTTTGCAGCGTTGTTACTTCTTAGGCAATCTGCGCTACTCTAGCGCTTTTGTTGCAAATCCCGCCCCCAGTGGGGTTGCCTGTATTGAGATCTGCCTTGGTAATACTATGCTCTCATTGAACCTGCTTCAGTTCGCTACGCTACCAAGTGTGCGCAATAACTTCCGTTAGATTTTGTAAAGTTTCACAACGTGGAAACTTTCGCTGTGTAACCTCGTATTCACTTCTCATCCGTTCGAGCTTGTCACAACAGTTAGTCAGATTATCTCCTTGTCTTTGTTGGGATGTGATTAACGCTATGCAGTTTTTGCTTTTAACCGGCCACAACTTCTCTGTTTCGTACGGCGATACCGATACCCGCACATAGATCTAACAACAAGCATCGTATTAACAACAAGCATCGTAACAAGAATCGCAATGATATGGTGAACCGCCTAAGCGCCTTTTCATGAGCTCTAATACGCTGCGCTCTCCACATGTTGGCGGCGGATATAATCTGCATTACATGGTCGGCACCACCGCGAAATTTGGGTAGAAGGAAACGCACAACAAACCGAAAATCCGAAAGGACCACCTAACTCAACATAGTCCAAAAGGTTCGCGCATTTTCTGCTTGTTTCTCAAAAATATCTGCGTTGAGACAGTCACACAGATGCCTGTGCCGGCACCGCACGAAATTAAGGTGACCTTTGAAGCCTGGTAAAAGTCCTGGTACGGCACGGTCGCGTAGCACAATAATTTAAAACATTCAAATATTAAGCTTGATTCCGCAGAATAATTGCAGGTCTCCACAAATTTCATTTCCCACCCGAATTTGGTTTTAACTATGTTGTGACGTAATACCGGTGCGTTTCTACCGGGTGGCTGAACAAAACGGCCTTCTCGTTCACCATGGTGCGCTGGCCCGCCCATTGTCTGATTAACGTCATGTTAGTTTCAATGGAAAGAGCAAAGTTTGCAGTATACTAAAATAAAGTTAAACTAGCGTTAAAGAAAAGCTTATCGGTTTTATAAATTGTTTTTAAAATTAGGGTGGGGTTGAAAGCTGGCCCGAATTAAAAACCCGAGTTTACTAATTTCCGGCTAAAAATTCTGGTTATTGAACTGAGCAGTTTACTGTATGACACGTTGCTGTTTCGGATAGAGGGATTCGGATTCTTGTTTTTTTACTATAAAGAATTGCGATTTTCATAGTGGCCGTGTTTGGACAAGAAGCAGAAGAACTGAGAGCCCCACATTTTATTCTCGTGAAATCTGTAAGCAGACGTTGTGAATGAAGTTTTCTCACCAACCCTTCACCAGTTTATCGGGCTAAATCTTGGGCTATTTTTCACTACATTTATCAGCAAAATAATTAATTTTTGTTGCAGCCTGTCAAGCAGCAAAAACTTCTAATGAAAACACACGAAACGCCAGATTTAAAAACCGGCATTTTTTGGGAAAAGTCACGAAGTGTGCTGACTCAGACTGTGTAACTCTCCCAGCACGTTCACCATGCCAACAACTTTTTTTTCTGTTGAAACATACCGGGTGACCGAACAAAATGTTACCCTCCGCGTTTGTTTCGCCCCGTGCGAACTACTTAACGCAATTTAAACAAAGTAGACTCATTCGATAGACAATTTCTTGAGCTACTAAACCCAAGAAAACATTCTTTTGAAAAACTGATATCTCTCGTTAACAATGGCGCCAAGTGAAATCGTGTCGAAATTTTTAGTGTCCCAGCTCGCGAAGTTCAAAATTTCGCCTCAGTTATTGTCCTTGCGTAATATCTCAAGTTTTTAAAATGTTTTATCTAGAGTAAGATTATTTCGTCTTTCAGTCGGGAAAAATTTGTTGGGATGGTGCATGCACTGGATGAGCTATGCACTGAGCAACCTTTTCGACAGTTCGAAAAATTACGATTTTTTTCATCTGTTTTTTTTTTAAGTATTTTAGTTACAATTTTTTTGTTCACTACTGGGTGCAATAAAGAGCGCCGGGTCAACTGGAAACTGTGGGTCGGTGAGTACCCTTACAAACACGGGTGTGAACCAGGACTGCATTCGAAGTAATGGTCTGCAAATTGTTTTCAAAACGTCCGCCGCCCCGTTTCATGAAGATCAAATGTAAGGAGTACCAAACCTTTCGCTCGTTGGCCAGCCAAGGTCACTAGAATGTTTTTATTCTTTACAGTAAAAAAAACCAGGAACAATCCCTCTTTCTGAAATACTAACTTCATAAACAATAGCATACTTGGTTGATATCTACAATTTAAATTCTTTTAAATCCAACGGCTCACAGATTCAACCAAAGTTACCTTTGCTGCGTCAGTATTTTGCTGCACGGCATCATTGTGACTGTTGGTCAGCCGTGAATACTTCGCTGATTCCATATAGCGCCATTTTGCTTAATTCGGCAGTGTCCGCCAGTGCCAGATCGACGTCCACCCATGAACGAGGCGTTCGTCCGAGTGAAATCCATTGAACCTTTAAAGAGCATACCAATGTCGTGTTAACATTTACTATTGTTATTATTTTACTACTGCGATAACTTTAAATGTAATTCACATCATTAGCAGCTTCTCTACCCTGTACATGTACACTAGAGTGTACAGTGACTCTACACACACAAAGGTATTCTACTCTACAACGTTCACGTTAGCTCTGCTCAGGCAAAACATTGTGTACCTCCTCACTGGTCAGATTCACAAGCTATGCTCGGGAAAGCCCAGGGTGGGCAAAATTTGGGACGGAATTTCTGTTGGTTATGAACGGTTAAAGGTTGGATGTGCATGCAGAGGCTTTTCTGTCTGCTAACTTTAAACTAAAACATTTCTAGCTAAACTAACTAATGAAACTAACCCAGTCGGGACCATTTGAAGGAAGTGACTAACTATTTTTGATCTGTGATGTATCTGTATTTTATGAAATAAATTAAAAATCGCAAAAAATTTGAAGGAAGCACTAAACTTTGCGAAACTCGTTAAGTTTTCTGTGTGTTGATGAAAACCGTGTTGGAAAATTGTCCATTTTTCCGCAAAATTAAATGCCCTTGTTTCCGCCATACCGTAAAGTTTTCAATATGTCTGCTCACAGTGAAAGGTAGCTGCGAATAGTCTCCCATTCAGAAGGATGCAGTAGATCTCGCGCCCAACGATTGTAAACGGCTTTGACCTTTGCCTGCATTTCTTCCGGAACCGGCGGAAAATTTTCGCTGACGGCCCACATAAAACGGCTGACCATATGCGGTTCAGCAATTCAGAACGACTCGCGGCACCTTGATCTCCAGCTTATCAATAGCCAGATCGTGGTCCCATCCGAGAGGTCGCATTAAGGCCTTCTCCCGTGGCGGCAAAAGATGCAACATCATAAAAGAATCCTTGACAAAAATCTGGTACATTGGTCGACCAAACAGATGGCTGAGTTTCCAGTTGTGCAGCATCACCCGGTCACAGCTGTTCTTGAACATTTTTGCCTCGAACGGCGCATGATGTCTCCAGTGAAACTTATCATCCGAAATTGCCGCGTTAACTATGTCGATGACAAAGTCCTTCAATATTATCAGGGGCACGTAAACCCTCACAGCTTCCATGGCCTCAGCAAATCAACAATCATAAATACCAGTTCTTCGTCGTGAGAGCTCGTTATTATCGTCAAACTCTTGGTCGCTGCGTTGATAGTGCGAGTGAGCAGCACTGCCGCTCTGAAGCAGTTGATGTTGTCGGATCTGGTATCTCTATTCAGGCTATCCAGGCATACTCGAATGTGTTCCGCTGTGCGGGGATTGCTCAACAGTGCGTGCCACAATGCGCACACTCTGCAAATCATCACAGAATGTAAACGTATACCTCATTTGATAAATCTGTAAACTGAAATGCGGACGTATAAGGCAAGGAAAAGCGGCATGCTCATACAGTTCACGGCGTTCCTCATATACTGTACAGTAAGTGAACAGTCACGGCTTTCGTTATATCCAGAATCTAGATCAGTATTACCACGAACAAAAAACAGTAGATACACCAATGCCGATATTCCAGGAAGAATTACCAAAAACACTGCTATAACAGGAAGCCCATATTCTAAAGCACGGCCACAGAGTGTCAGTTTGTCAAAAACCGGCATCAGCGCGACCACACAAATCATACCGCTTGATCTTCATCTTGGAGTGCAGATCCAGGTAAGTAAAGATCTCTCTGAAGATGCAATGAGGCAGATCACCAAACAGGACTTCTGAACACGGATACTCGATTGGGTCATCTGAAAAATTGTGAGACACTCGTATTATTAGTTATATGCAAGAAGATTGTAAACTGTTGCAGATCAAATAACGCATTTCTTCGTTCTGTTAGCGAATGTGCGAGGTGGTTACATTACGGAGTAAATAACGACTGCAGACCACATGAAGCACACAAAGGCGCAGCCCAAGCCGCTCCCTACTTGCAGAAATCAAACCCGTTAAGCATTTAACGCATACCTGCCATACATGCACTGATATCAATTTCGCTGTTGAAGTCATTCTTAAAACAAATGGGCAGCAACTCTGCTCGGGTGGCCAGATGCCTCTCCAACATCATCGACAGCTTTGTAATCGTCAACTGCTGCGCATCCGCGCTCGTTCCGACGCTGATTACCACAAAGATGCAGCTGCCCGCTTCGATCCGCAGATGGAACCGGCAGCAGTCCGTCAGCTTAGTCTGCACCTCGTCGCCGTCAAACGCTTCGCGAAAATGTTTAATCAGTCGCGATTTGTCGGCTGGATCGCTGAGAACATGGTCCGCCATGGAAAAGGGAATGGCGTACTTCGTATACATCAGTTCGCTGTTGCGCTGCACTATCTCTGGCTCGGTAAACCACTGCACACCGAGGATCTGGCGATTATCGATCAATTCGATGCGACGATCTTCGCTTTCAAGCGCCTCGACATAGCTCATACGACACCGCTTACATGCCATAAGAGGCTCAATTATAGAAACCGACTGAAACCGAAACGGACCGTCGTCCTCGTCGCGGAGTGCCGCATGAACGAGAGTTTTGCGCCCTCTGTGCTCATACTTATACCATGGCATCGGATAAAGACATGCTGCATCGATCCACTTGGCTCCGACCTTGGTCGAGTCGAAATCGACAAACGCTTGGCCTCCGTTGATGTCTTGAATGAATCCCAGCAACATAACACCGTTTTCCTGGGCAGCAACAGCGTTCTGGTAACTCATCTGGCACGGGTCAGACAGCAAACACCGGAACGGTCGGAAATGGAATGGAGGCTCAGATTCGGTCTTTGAATCCTTTATTGGAAATTCGGCCGCGGATTCCATTGTGCGCTCGACCTAGAAAAAGCCAATCTGGTAACATTATGGTTACCAATCACAGTACAAAAACGCGTATGGGTACATTACAAGATTCACACCTCACACGTGTTAGTTATTATAAAGTTAGCAATAACAGTGGCTCTTTTAAAATGACTGACGTTTCGCTGACGGCTACTCTTCGCTAACGCTAACAGCT